ATATATATATATATATATATATATAAGTATACTGTATATATATAGTCCAGCCATATATTGTCACGGCAATTAAGTTAACGAGAAATATGCAATAATTTGCAGCAACAATTGGTACTAACTGGGCATAGAGAGAGAGAGAGAGAGAGAGAGAGAGAGAGAATGATCGCGTTTGGAGGATGGAGTGGAGGACCATCTGGAAGACTCACCTCAAGAAGAAGAAAGACAAACAGAATCGCCAGGCTCTCATGGACCCCCAGAGAGAGAGAGACGCTGCTGAGTCTCTCTCTCTCTCTCTCTCTCTCTCTCTCTCTCTCTCTCTCTCTCTCTCAATATTTTTCCTGTGTTTTCATTTTCTTGTCCTCGGAGACTACCAAGGACAGAAGACTCACCCTTAAGGAAATTTGACCTTCTTGTAAACAGGTCAGAAGGGTTATAATTCCTATTTAGTATTACGGTGGATTATTTAACGGATTATATTACGTGGGAGGTCAGTTCTTTATATCAAAGTCCGTTATATTTGAAACTTACTTTTAACGGACTATATGAGATTGTAATCCGTTTTATTTGAGACCTTCTAACGGACGATATTAAAGGGTATTCCGTTATATATGAGACCTTCCGGACTATATGTAAGATTTAAGTACGTTATATGGAGGGTTCACTGTACCCTATTATTTTGAAACTATTGAGGACGATTTCAAACTACAGTAAAATAATTTCTTCTCTTATTTTTTTTTAGAATAAACTTTTCCAAAATGGGGTGACCTATTTCTTTTTAATACGCGATGGAGGTGTTTTTTCCCAATTAGGTAACCAATTTTTTATCTATACTGTAATGAAAACCCAATTTTTACAGGTGATTTTGCTTCTAATTTCTGTGACCCAATTTGATATATTCTGTTTGTGACCTATTTTGAGACAGTGAATAGAGCACTTTATTTATCTGTCTACTCACACACACACACACACACACACACACACACACACACACACTGAGGAATATGAAACTTCATCGTGTAATGGGACCTGTACATCAGAGACAGAAATTAGTGGACTTTAAGTTTGGCCCCAAAAGGTTAAAAGTTCATGAGGTGTATTTTTAGCTTTTAATTGTTCGTTTCCTATGTTTATTTCCCACAAGTGATGGGGATAAATATATACATTAATACATGAAGAGATGTATATGTATATAGATATGTTCGAACCCACGGCCCACGAACCCATGACTGTGACCGGGGAACGCTACCTCTGGACCACCAGGATACTAAAAGCAGTCCTAGACTTTGTTATATTTCACACAAAGCCTGGGTGAGCATAACACCTGCTTAAATACCCTAACCTAACCTAACCTAACCTAACCTAACCTAACCCAGGAAGCGTTAGAGTGTTTAATCAGATGAAATAAGCTTGGGTGTCTAATCTTCACATGGTCTCCCCCCCCCCAAAAAAAAAATATAATCAATAACATTCAATCTCATCAAAACACACACGGATTCATCAACAAGACTAGACAAAAACGCTTCCCCCTCAAGAACGACTATCTCGGATTTCTTCAAGGATTCATCACTGCTCTTGGAAACTAACGAAACTTTACCAAGAATTCATGATGAGGTGTATCCGACTTCCTATATCTATTGGGACGTTGAAATTGGTCGGATACCTGGTATATTAGTCGGGTAGTGGGTATATTGGTCGGGTACTACCGGGAATATTGTCCGGTTTAGCCACTTTGGGTCTGCTCGGCCTTGAATTTTAGAAAAGTAAATAATATTACGATTTGTCTGTCTGTCTGTCTGTCTGTCTGTCTGTCTGTCTGTCTGTCTGTCTGTCTGTCTGTCTATCTGTCTGTCTGTCTGTCTGTCTCTTTTTCTGTCTTTTGTCTGGACCCTAACAAGTGTTGAGTACTTGTGTGCCTATAACCAGAGTCCATGGGTGATTGGTTGAATGTAACCCAGTCTTAATTGATCCAGTCTTAATTGATCCAGTCTTAATTGATCCAGTCTTAATTGATCCAGTTTTAATTGAAATCAGTGCTAATCATGGCCTAGTCCTAATGGGGTCTAATCCTAATAGCAAGGTTAGGTTAGGCTAGGCTAGGTTAGGTCAGGTTAGGTCAGGTTAGGTCAGGTTAGGTTAGGTCAGGTTAGGTTAGGTTAGGTTAGGTTAGGTCAGGTCAGGGTAGGTTAGGTCAGGTTAAGTTAGGTTAGGTTAGGTCAGGTCAGGTTAGGTTAGGTTAGGTTAGGGTAAGTTAGGTCAAGTTAGGTCAGGTGGGTTGGGATTAGGTCTCAGGTTAGGTCCCAGGTCAGGTCCAGGTTAAGGATTGGGTCAGGTTAGGTTAGGTCAGGTTAGGTCAGGTTAGGTTAGGTTAGGTCAGGTTAGGTTAGGTTGTGGTCTGGCAGGACTGGTGGTGGCTATGTGAACTATGAGTCATTAGGAAGAATGACGACATATCAGGAGAGAAGCTCATTAAGACAGGTGTTGGTTATTAGGGACTGGGTCCATTATAACAGGTGGTACCAATTAGGACCAAGGTACATTATGACCAGTGGTGCCTATCAGAAGTAGGGCCCATTAGGACGAGGCCCATTGGACATGTGACGCCGTTAACACAAGAGTGTATGCTTGAAAAATTAATGAATGGCAGCGCAAATTTGAAAAGCGATAATAGTAATGGAGGGACCTGGTCTAAAGCATTGGTACTGAGGCGTGACCTGGCTCTCTCTCTCTCTCTCTCTCTCTCTCTCTCTCTCTCTCTCTCTCTCTCTCTCTCTCTCTCTTTCAAGAACATTTCGACTTACGTCCCTCAGAGCGAGTCTGTTATGTAAATAAATAAAATAATATCTTATAAAATATCAAGCAAGAAAAACAGACAGACAGACAGATTGACAGACAGATTGACAGACAGACAGACAGACAGACAGACAGACAGACAGACAGATTGACGAACGATTGACGAACGGAGCGAACGGAGCAGACAGACGAACGAACAGACAGACAGATTGACAGACAGATTGACAGACAGACAGACAGACAGACAGACAGACAGACAGACAGACAGACAGACAGACAGTGAGATGTGGCTGAAAGGAAGGGAGAGAAAGAGAGAAAGGAAGAAAGACTTAGATTAAGCGAAAGAACAAAACAAATTATGAAATAAAATTTTGATAAGTAAAAATAGCAATGTAATTACTTAGCAATGGTGGCGTGATTGTGGTAATTGTGGTGATTGTGGTGATTGTGGTGATGTTAATTGTAATAGTTGTAGTAGTGATGTGATTGTGATGCTGGTAGTCGTGGTACCGATATTACCATTAGTTGTGGTGTTAAAAATAGTGGTAATATTAGTTGATGTTGGTAGTGGTTAGAGTAATAGTGATGCTAGTAGAAGGGGTGGTAGTTTGGCCGGTAGTAATGGTGGTGGTGGTGGTAATAATAGTGGTGGTTTGTAATGGTACCAAGCAGTAATAGTGGTAGTAACGACAAATGTGATTGCAATGGTGGTAGGACTACTAATCCCTAGAGACAATGCTATAGTGGTGGTGGTGGTGGTGGTGGTGGTAGTACCTGGCTAGCAAGGTTAATAACAACAGCTTTAGTACAGGTGATGGGTGGGCTCGTTTTCTTCCTCTCGTGACTATGGGATAACTTGTCTAAACTTCACTCACCTAATTCCCCGAGCTAGAGGCGGTAATTGTGTTGGGCCTAACGTGGGAATATTTGACATAGAACTGCTTGCTTAATTAAAGTACGTTTGGGGTGTTTGCTTTTAATTAAGAACGAGGACGAAGGTAAATTACCTACCTGGCGACTCTGCTGAATTGTAATTGTTTCTTTCAGGTTATTTTTTTGTTTTTGTTTTTGTTTAGTATCGTTTCTGTTTGTTGTTTGTTGTTGTTCTCTCTCTCTCTCTCCTTCCCTTCTTTCCCATCACCTATTCCTCTTTCTCTTACCCCCCTCTCTCTCTTTCCCTCTCCTTCTCCCTAATCATTTTCCTCTTTCCACCTTCTCTCTTACTCTCTCCCTATCCCTCTTCCCTCCCTCTCATCTTATCCTCCCTTTTTTAATTCTCCCTCCCCCCTCTCCCCGTCCCACCCTTTCTATATCTCTCTTCCCTTCCTTCTGTCTCTCCTTCTCTCCATTCCATCTCTGTTCCTCACCCTTTTTCTTCCCCTCTATCTCTCCTCCCTCCCTCTCCCTTCCTTCCTCCCTCCCTCCCTCCTTCCTTTCCTCCTTCCCTTCCTTTAATTGTCAGTTCTAAACATTATCTCACACACTTACTCTCACGTTGACCCCAGATAACCTCCAAAATTGCCCCAAAGGTCCTAATATGACCCCCAGATAACCCCACACATGAAACCACATGACCCCTAAATGCATCTCACCTAACAATATGTGACCCTGTGTAATCCTCATATGACCCCAAATGACCTTCATATAATTGCACATGACCCTAAATGGCCCCTACATGACCCCACATGACTCTAAATGGCCCCTACATGACCCCACATGACTCTAAATGGCCCCTACATGACCCCACATGACTCTAAATGTATGACCCATGACTCTCTAAATATTTCATGACCCCACATGACTCTAAATATTTCGCAGCCCCACATAGCTCTAAATGGCTCCTACATGACCCCACATGACTCCTAAGTATTTATGACCCACATGACTCTAAATAGCCCCTCATGACCCCACATGACTCTAAATAGCCTACATGACCCCACACTTGACTCCTAAATGGCCCTACATGACCCCCCACATGGCTCTCGTAAGCTATTATGACAATATTTCATGACCCCACATGACTCTAAATAGCCCTACATGACCCACTTGACTCTAAATAGCCCCATGACCCCACATGACTCTAAATAGCCCCTACATGACTAATGACTCTAAATAAGCCCTACACTTGTGACCCCAAATGACTCCTAAATGGCCCCTACATGACCCCATGACTCTAAATAGCCCTACGCGACCCCTTGCCTTGGCTCTAAATGGCTCTACATGATCCTAAATGGAGTAAGAAACGGGAGAATTATTACGTCAGGCCACCAGATCACATGCGTCATTCCTCTCATATCGCCAGCATCAACAACTGCGTCACTACGTCCATAGACGATCATCCTGGCTTGAGTGGTGCCGTATTGCCCTTTAAAGTTCTTAATGCATTCAGGTTAACCAAAGGACACGCTCTTTACCCCCACCCACCCACCCCACCCCCTGTCTTCTGTTAATGATTTTTACAGAGGAGTGAATTACACCATAACATTGTTGGGTTAAAGTGACGTTACATTAGTGCCATTTATATCACCACCATAATAATGTCTAGTGATAAGTTGTATGAATTTTTTTATATTAAGCTGTTAAATATTATCAGTATATCTATAAAATTAATAAATTCTTCTTTATTTTGTTTAAGTTAATTGTGATTGTAGTGGAAATATTTACTAGATTGGTGGCCCCAATAGAGAGGCAGTGATAGTAAGCCTTAATTATCAATCACTTAACATGTCAAAAAGTTAATGACCCTAACATCATTCAGCTTCGATAACAAATCCGATCGCTACTAACCAGGTCAGGGTGATAACAACGAGTGACCCCACATGACTCCAATTAATACCAAATGATCCCTAACAGAAAAAGATTCCCAGAATGTTAGATGGACTGAATAAAAATCAAGATTCTTTTTTTTTTTTCGTCTCCTTCCCTTTTGAGTTACTTGTTCGAAACTCTTCACCGAGACCCGAGTTCCTGGCTTCGAAACTCTTAGCTTGGAGTCGGGAGGGAGGGAGGGTGTTAAAAAGAGGGGAGGAAAAAGAGGGAAAGATGAAGAGAGGGAGAATGAGGAAGGGAGGAGTGAGGAAGGGAGAGAAGGAGGAAAGGAGAGAGGGAGGGAGGGGAAGATAAGGAAAGGGAAGGAGGGAAAGGAGAGGAAAAAGAGAGGGAAGGGGAGAGGTAGGTAAGGAGGAGATGGAAAGAAGAAGGTGGGATAAAAAGAAGGAGAAGGGAGGAAAGGGAAAGGGGGATAAGGATAGAGGTATAGAGGGAAGAATGAGAGAGGTGAAGAGGAGATTAGAAGGGAGAGAAAAGGTAAAGCAGCCCAGGATAGAGGGAGTGATAGGAGAGGTAGGTAAGAGGGAAGTACAGGAGGGAAGGAGGGAGGGATGGAGGGATAGGAGGGAAGGAGGGAGGGATAGGAGGGAAGGAGACTATTTAAATGGCCTTTAAATGTCTCAGAGACGGGATTAAAAGATCATTTTTTCTTCTTTTGTTTCTGATTTATTTACGATCCTGAAGAGAAACGGTGAAAAGTTGCCTCAAAGCTTCGGAACTCTGGGCAGGGTGTAGCTTGATGTGCGTGTGTGTGTGTGTGTGTGTGTGTGTGTGTGTGTGTGTGTGTGTGTGTGTGTGTGCGTGTGTGTGTGTGTGTGTGTGTGTGTGTGTGTGTGTGTGTGTGTTGTGCTTGTTTCGTTTATTTCACACATTTTGTTTCTTCCTCCCAGAAATGGACCGAGACCTGGTCCCTCTCTCTCTCTCTCTCTCTCTCTCTCTCTTCTCCCACACATATCCAAACTGCTTTCAGAGCTTGATTAAACGTCATGTGCCAACACACACACACACACACACACACACACACACATCAAGTCACCCGTGCCCCAGAGTTCCGAAGCTTCGAGGCAACTTTGCACCGCTTCACCCCACCAGCCAACATAGTAACAGAGAGTCACGAGCCTTAGCCAGGAGGCGGGGAGTTGGGCTTCTCATTAACGTCCAGCGGGTGTTAACATACTTTGTTTTAATTACCTGACTGTGACTAATTAGACCAAGGTATGTAATCAGAGACAGAATTCACTGTTCAGGTATCCAGACGTTTAATTTACGTCTTTAAATGTGAGATTTGAAAAGAAGTTATTACCATTCTTCCTGAAACAAAAAATACGGTATTTCGTCTCTGTTTCTCGGTGTCAGAAAAGCACTGAGACTCTGTTGATATTTGAGTCGTTTTCTTCACCTCAATTTCTCTACTCTTTTTCTATCCCTCGTTCCTTCCTTCCTTCCCTTCTTACCAGTCTCCTTACCCCACCTCCCTCCTTCCTTCCTTTTTTCTCAATCTCCTTACCCCTTTCCCACTCTCCCTCCCTCATTCCTTCCTTTCTTCTCAATCTCCTTACCCCTTTCCAACTCTCCCTCCCTCATTCCTTCCTTTCTTCTCAATCTCCTTACCCCTTTCCAACTCTCCCTCCCTCATTCCTTCCTTCCTTCCCTTCTTCCCAGTCTCCTTACCCCACCTCCCTCCCTCCTTTCCACCTTCCCTCCTTCTCAGCCTCCCTCCCTCCCTCCTTCCATCCCACAATAAGATCGACAGTATTAATTGAGCCGTGATCATCAGTTACCGAGTTGGGTTAACAGACCACCAGCCCATCCGACCACTTCAGGCAAGCTGTCACCCGCTCCAAGGCCTGCTGGATGTAGATAGTGAGGGAGTGGATAGTGAGGGTGTGGATAGTGAGGGTGTGGATAGTGAGGGTGTGGATAGTGAGGGTGTGGATAGTGAGGGTGTGGATAGTGAGGGAGTGGATAGTGAGGGTGTGGATAGTGAGGGTGTGGATAGTGAGGGTGTGGATAGTGAGGGTGTGGATAGTGAGGGTGTGGATAGTAAGAATGTGGATAGTGAGGGTGTGGATAGTGAGAGTTCATCGTTGTTTTTTCCTTTTCTAACAAAGCTTTTTGTTAAACCATTTCACCCCACCCCCTTCCACCCCCCCACCCACCCCATGTCTTTGTATGTAATAAGTAATTTCTGTTCAATATATATTTTCAACCTCAGGAATGCTGTTGTTGTTGTTGTTGTTGTTGTTGTTGTTGGTATTATTATTATTATTATTATTATTGTTGTTGTTGTTGTTGTTGTTGTTGTTGTTGTTGGTATTATTATTATTATTATTATTGTTGTTGTTGTTGTTGTTACACACATCTACACTACAGCGATAAAATTATACAATATCTCGAATAAATTAACAAACTTTTTCACAATATTTCTCAACCAAAAAAATACTTATCAACAAAGGAAAGTTACAGAGAATAACAATCAATATTCCTCCCTCGTGTTGTAAGTAGTATAGAGTAAGATCCAGATTATACAGTAGGGAAGTATTGATATTCCTCACCTGTCTCCTACTTTAATTGGTATATTGGAAATTAGACAGGTAGAATATATCAATACCCCTCACCCTTTTCTTAAATGTCGTAGAGGAAGATTAAACAAATATTGATATCCCTCATATTTTCACGTGGAATTAGGTAAGATACGGTAGGGTAAATATTGATATTTCTCGCTGTGTTAAGTAGAGATATAGGGGGAATATTATTTCAGAGATAAAGACATTGAAAAAAATAGATATATAACCCAACCTAACCTAACCTAACCTGACCTACGCCTTAGTTAATATGAGGCTCCTCCCTCCCTGCCTAAAACACATTCTCTCTCTCTCTCTCTCTCTCTCTCTCTCTCTCTCTCTCTCTCTCTCTCTAACCTATTATAATTTCTTTACATAGTTTTAAGTTATTTTCATATATAGACTTAATCCTCATATGTAGTTTATAATCCGAGTTACCTTTTATAACATCATCATCTACAAACAGCAGCTGAGTCACTGGGGTTGTTCTCCTCTCACTGGTAACCGAGTTTTCTCTTCTTGCCGGGACCACTATAGGAGGAATACAAAATAACATAAGCAAGACTTTTAAAATAATAAATAAAAATTCCACAAAGATAAAAAAACAAATGTACAAAGAAAAACAAATATTTATATATATATAAAAAAATCAACCATTTTTAGTAATGTATAAAATAATAAAATATAACTACGTCAAGAGAAAAGGTCATTCAAAACTACTTTCCTTTCGCTTTACAATGGTTGGGTGAAGGAGAGGACCGCGATGTTTCAGTGTCGAGAAAACGAAAGTGGCCACAAGAGTCTCACCACAACCATCCACAACTGTCCAAAATATTTTCCAATAAACGACTCCTCCAGAGAACACTTGTAGAGCAGGGATTTGTGGAGCTCATCTAGTCTTGGTTTTTTCCTCCTCTGAGTTTGAGAGAGAGAGAGAGAGAGAGAGAGAGAGAGAGAGAGAGTATTGACAGAAAGAAAGATAGAGAAGGAAAGACAAAGAAAGTATTGAGAGAAAAAAAGAGAGAGAGAGTTAAGAGAACGAAACAGAAAGAGAGAGAGAGAGAGAGAGAGAGAGAGAGAGAGAGAGAGAGAGAGAGAGAGAGAGAGAGAGAGAGAGGAAAAGAAAAGAAATGTTGTATCATGTCTTGAGGTGTGTGTGTGTGTGTGTGTGTGTGTGTGTGTACCAGAGGTGGACCAGAAGCCAACACACACTAATTAAGACTCAAAATAATGAGAGAGTGATACAGTGACTTACAGTGACATGATGCATTATATAAATTTAATGACTTAGATAAGTATGATGACTTACCTGAGATCAATTAGTGTACAGTGTCAATAAAACGAGATATGCTTCATATAATACAACTAATAAGAGTTTGGTGACTGGACAGCTTAAAAACAGCAAATAAAGCTTCGATTACAGAGATTAAACTTACCAGAACGACTCAAAAAAAAAATCATTTCAGTAAACCGATCATCGAATACGACAACCTAACACAGTATAACAACTCCCACCTCCAGTACGATAGATCACACGCTTGAAACACACCAGTTAAACCACACTCGTACAATAACTAACCATCACGTACGATACACCGCAGGATGTAAACATTAATCAGCTGTTTCACACGTGTTTTCCTCACCCCCGGAGGCGTATATTCATGTCTCTGTTACCTCTTACTTCGTGTTGCCACAAATTTAGCTCGCTCGTAAATAACCCGCCAGCCTTCCCAACCCGTAAATATTGGCCATGGATTGGGATTAACGATGCTATTACGCCTTTTGGACCCCAAGTTAGAAACATTTTCAACGTGGGAATTCGGACAATTGTTGGAGGTGTGTGTTGGTGTTGTTGACTCACTCGTGTGTTATGTAAACATTGTGTGTGTGTGTGTGTGTGTGTGTGTGTAAAAGGTTTAATCAAAATTAATCCAAGCGTCTAAATAAAATTATTGGACACACACACACACACACACACACAGGGTCAGCTGGAAGAACTAAAAAAAAAAAATACAGGAAATTAAGCATAAAATAGATGAAATTTTTTTGGCCCGTTTATTTTTGGGGAAACAGCCGGTTGTTACCTCTCCCCCCAACAGCTTCTCTCTCTACTGCCCTGCCTCAACCTACTGCTGCCTCCCCCCAATCCCCCTCACCCCCCCCATTATTCCTCACTTCCCCATTGCCTCATCCAAGTAGAGTGGAGGCATCGCCTCACCACTAATAGATTGAAGAAGAAACACAACAACATCTTCCAGACCACAAAGAACCCAGCAACATCTTCCAGACCACAAAGAACCCAGCAACATCTTCCAGACCACAACAGAACCCAGCAACATCTTCCAGACCACAACAGAACCTCCAGCAACATCTTCCAGACCACAACAGAACCCAGCAACATCTTCCAGACACAACAGAACCCAGCAACATCTTCCAGACCACAACAGAACTCCAGCAATCTTCCAGACTACAACAGAACCCAAGTAGCAACATCTTCCAGACCACAACAGAACCTAAGTAACATCTTCCAGACCACAACAGAACTCAGCAACATCTTCCAGGACCACAACAGAACCCAGCAACATCTTCCAGACCAACAGAACCCAGCAGCAACATCTTCCAGACCACAACAGAAATCCAGCAGCAAATATCTTCCAGACCACAACAGAACCCATAAACATCTTCCAGACCACAACAGAACCCAGCAACATCTTCCAGACCACAACAGAACCCAAGGCAACATCTTCCAGACCACAAATAGAACCCAGCAACATCTTTCCAGACCACAACAACAGAACCCAGCAACATCTCCAGACCACAACAGAACTCCAGCAAATATCTTCTCCAGACCACAACAGAACCCAGCAACATCTTCCAGGACCACAACAGAAACTCCAGCAACATCTTCCAGAATTCACAACAGAACCCAGCAACATCTTCCAGACCACAATGAACCCAGCAACATCTTCCAGACCACAACAGAACCCAGCAGCAACACCCTCCAGACCACAACAGAACCCAGCAACATCTTCCAGACCACAACAGAACCCAGCAACATCTTCCAGACCACAAAAGAACCCAGCAACATCTTCCAGACCACAAAAGAACCCAGCAACATCTTCCAGACCACAAAAGAACCCAGCAACATCTTCCAGACCACAAAAGAACCCAGCAACATCTTCCAGACCACAAAAGAACCCAGCAACATCTTCCAGACCACAAAAGAACCCAGCAACATCTTCCAGACCACAAAAGAACCCAGCAACATCTTCCAGACCACAAAAGAACCCAGCAACATCTTCCAGGACCACAAAAGAACCCAGCAACAACATCTTCCAGGCCACAACCAGACCCAGCAACATCTTCCAGACCACAAAAGAACCTTAACATCTTCAGGCCACAACAAGACAACAACTCTTCCCAGGCCACAAAAGACAGCAACATCTTCCAGGCACGCTTAGAACCAGCAACATCTTCCAGACCACAAAAGAACCCAGCAACATCTTCCAGGCCACAACAAGACCCAACAGCATCTTCAGGCCACAAAGACAGCAACATCTTCCAGGCCACAAAAAGAACCCAGCAACATCTTCCAGACCACAAAAGAACCCAGCAACATCTTCCAGACCACAAAAGAACCCAGCAACATCTTCCAGACCACAAAAGAACCCAGCAACATCTTCCAGACCACAAAAGAACCCAGCAACATCTTCCAGACCACAAAAGAACCCAGCAACATCTTCCAGACCACAAAAGAACCCAGCAACATCTTCCAGACCACAAAAGAACCCAGCAACATCTTCCAGACCACAAAAGAACCCAGCAACATCTTCCAGGCCAAAAGAACCCAGCAACATCTTCCAGGCCACAACAGAACCCAACAACATCTTCAAGGCCACAACAGAACCCAGCCAACATCTTCCAAGCCACAAAAAAAGAACCCAGCAACATCTTCCAGACTACAAAAAAGAACCCAGCAACATCTTCCAGGCCACAAAAAGAACCCAGCAACATCTTCCAGGCCACAACAGAGACCCAACAACATCTTCAAGGCCACAACAGAACCCAGCAACATCTTCCAAGCCACAAAAAGAACCCAGCAACATCTTCCAGACCACAAAAGAACCCAACAACATCTTCAGACCACCAGCAACATCTTCCAGACCACAAAAGAACCCAGCAACATCTTCCAGACCACAAAAGAACCCAGCAACATCTTCCAGACCACCAAAAGAACCCAGCAACATCTTCCAGACCACAAAAGAACCCAGCAACATCTTCCAGACCACAAAAGAACCCAGCAACATCTTCCAGACCACAAAAGAACCCAGCAACATCTTCCAGACCACAAAAGAACCCAGCAACATCTTCCAGACCACAAAAGAACCCAGCATTGCTTTCCAGTTTCCCAAAGAGGTTAGCATCATCTTCCAGTCCACAAGATCCGGGAATGAGGAGCACCAGACATCACTTCCAGATCACTTTTGTTTTCTGCCTCACCTCCTGGAATAGGTTTGCCAGGCACACATATCATCCTCTTATGCCGAGGCAGAGTGAAAAATAGCGGTGGGGGGCAGACTTGTGGGTAATATATACGCCGCCGTTACTCAGTGAGGGAGTCAGCTGGGTCTCCTATGAATTATTTATCACCGAGCACAAAGGAATGATCAGTGAGAGGTTCCAGACGGACTTAAGGAAAGGAAGATATCAACAACAACACACACACGCACACACACACACACAAACACACACAAACACACACACACACACACACACACACACACACGCTTGTTGTGAGGATTAAAAAGTTAGCATTGACAGTGCTGTTACACATACACCAGCAGCTACAAGAAGATAAATGCCGAGTCTTCACGATACACAACAACACCCGACACTGACAAACGATCACTATTGAAACATCATCCTGCCTGCGAGCCCTTACCATGGTAGGGTAAATACCTAAACAGTGACGCACTTACTGTAAATTAATCACCTCTAGAAACTGTCTCATGTTATCGTTTTTTGCAGCCACCGAAAAACACTTTGACTTCTTTAACCCCTAAAAGAAACTCTTATCACCGTCGCAACATTTGATAAATTCGGGTATAATTCACACCAAAACCGTATCATGTGGTCCTTGTCACATATTGATCAAACCTACTAAGTTTGGTGAAAATCCTCAGACCCGTTTTCGAGTTATTTTGAAGACAGAAAGAAAGACTGACAAAAAAAACACAATATTGATTCTTTCAAGTAAATCAAAACACTTGACAGTAGCACCACTGAACCCAACCCTCGGGCACTAAGCTCTCGAGGTAACTCAGAGACACGACAGATATTGTGGAGAAGAGGAAAAGAATATAAGGAGAAAAACAGATCAAGAATGAAGGGAAGGGAAGGTCAAAGTGCAAGGGTGAGCAGTTAGGTCAGAAGATACAGACAGGCGAGGTCACTGGGGGATGGTAAGTCAGGTCACCGAGTAGATGACGTGAAAATTAAGTACTTCAGCTTATTTCCCCAGATGAGTGAACACATTAAGGCTACCAGGGTGCTAGGTTAGGTTAGGTTAGGTATTAAAGATAGTTCTTTCTTAGACTGCTAATCATCATCATTAGAACTCATTTCACACACACACACACACACACACACACACACACACACACACACACACACACACACACACACACACGGTACACTCTGTATATTATGCGAGCGCTCTGGTCTGTGTGAGTAAATACATTTTTTGTAGTATGTAGTATTCTAAACATTTGCATCGGAATTTCAGAGCTGTAGTGTGTTCTCTTTATAATGGCATTCCATTTAGGTGCAGGGGTTTAGAGCTGATATGAGTGTGTGTGTATGTTGGTGTGTGTGTGTGTGTGTGTGTGTTATGCACACACAGGATGGTGTAATGCGTCTAGTTGGCAGCATTTTGTTAGTCTTCGGTGCAAGTACTGCTTGCTCCCTCTCGCTTTCAGTTACCGCCGCTGGCTAGCCCTGTGGCGAACAGGGAAGCAACTTGCACAAGTCTTCCCCTGCCAGTACACAGCCTCTTCACCACCAAGACTCCTGTGCCTCCACGTGGCAACACACGATAACTGGGTGTCTCGTGGGCCCAGGCTAGACCAGCAGGGGATCTCGGAGCAGCAGTAGGCCCCAGAGGAACGGCGCATAGGCCCACTGGCATGTGGACACGTCCTGGCGCCTACCAACCACTGCCTTGTGGATTAACCCTGGTAGGTATAAGGCTACGGGAGTAAGCCCCAAACGAAAAATCTGCGGTGGAGTCCTGCATCAGGCAGACATGCTTACAGAGCTCCAACAAGACCCCAACGGCGGTGTAGGCGGAAGAGGTGACCACCATGGGAACCTAACTACTACACAGGCGGATGAAGGTAATGCCTGATGGACAGGCTACTAAGGCGAAACCCAACAAACTGGGTTATCGGCAGTCAATTGCAACTCTTCCTCTCCCCAGTTATTGTAGCTACCTACACCACTGGATCAGGAAAAGGGAGAGCCAAGATGTGTGGTTGCAGCCTGCGCTCCTGCCTCTCCACATAAATCAACTCTCACACAGCCATCATTCAGCTCATCATACCTCTCATCATCAAAACCCCTATACGCCCAAAAAGTCCTATGGCGACGGACGAGTGGCGACGGGGACGGGCAGAGATGACTGCCGGGAGACTTTAGTCACAGCTCAGCACATGGGCGGCACATATAAGATGGTCGTTTATGCACTGGGATCGAAGCAGCAGTGCAATCCGGTTCTGTCTGCGCGACTGAGCAGCCCTTTCCAGGAGCCACTATGTTCACCCCACATGGAGAAAGGGCTAGAAAGGGTGCCCTAAACATAGCCTGCCTAAAGAACCAACCTGACTGGGCATCCACACCCAGTAAAGCCCTCCCAATGAGATCAAAATCATAATCACAGATCAAAGCAAAAACAAACTATACAACCTCTTATGTTCGCTGCATGGAATGTCAGGACCCTTCTGGATACTGGCACAAATGAGCGTACTGAAAGAAGAACTGCCCTTGTGGCAAAAGAGCTGGATAGGTATAACATCGACATAGCAGCCATTAGTGAGTCCCGGCTCCCAGACGAGGGTCGACTCACAGAACGGGGGTCTGGCTATACCTTCTTCCGGAAGGGTAAGCCTGCCGCAGGGAGAAACCCCATTTATGGAGTTGGCTTTGCCATCCGCCAACGCATCCTACACAGGCTAACTTAAATGCCTGTTGGGATCAACGAGCGCCTCATGACGCTCCGAGTCCCACTGAATCACTCACGTCATGCCTTCTTCATCAGTGCATATGCCCCAATACTGGATGCAGAGATACCGTTCATGCAGTCCTTGACAGACTGCTAACCTCTGTCCCCAGAGAAGATAAGGTTACGCTCCTTGGTGACTTCAATTCCAGAGTTGGAGGAGATGCTGACTTGTGGCAGGGAACCATAGGGAGAAACGGAGTGGGTAAGTATAATCCCAACGGTCTACTCCTCCTCAGCGAGTGTGCTGAACACAATCTCATTCCCTTGTTTAGGCAGGCTCTGTCATCACAAACACCTGTATCAGGACCCTCGGTCAGATCGAAAAACACCTGGATTGGTTTGACGAAAATTAGCAGGAAATCGAAGTACTTGTCAGTGATAAACGTGCTGTCCTCACTGACTAGCAGGACAACCCTCAGTCTCGGACCAAAGCTGATACCTACCAACAGAAGAAAGTGATGGCGCTGTCCAAATTTCGCGATCTAAAGGACGAATGGTGGAAAAATAAAGCATATGAAACGCAAAAAAATGCGCATCAACACACACACACACACACACACACACACACATTACACACCTCACTGCAGAGCCATTTATTATGCAGTTTTAACGTGGGTGAGGAGCGGCACCTCTGCGCCGCTTAGGTGGTGCCTGGTGCTGACAAAGTTAGTGCTAATGGTTGGCTTTGGGAAGGAGGGGAGGGGCAGGAGGGGGAGGAGAAAAGGAAAGGAAGGGAAGAGTGTAAGGAGGATGAGGGAGGGAGGGGGGGTAAGAAGAGGGATTCTGTATTTTTCTTCTACATTATATCCGTGAATCTCTCTCTCTCTTCCTAATCACCACCACTCCCACCAACAGCTTTAAATACAAAGTCAATCCAGGCCAAAGCTCATCTTGCAGTGACAGGCCAGGGCTGTAACAGGGGTCACACGGATAACACTATCACTTATCTATTTCCCCTTATGACGTAAGTCAGTGCCTAAGGGTTATGTATGGGGAAGGTATGTATGTATGTATGTATGTTACAAGAATGACTAGAGAAAATGGTTCGTTTGACCTGTTGTTGCAAAGGAAAATGAAAATGGATGTTTTTGTTAAATACTGGGAGTGGGTAGATAGAGGGAGAGGAGAGTGAAGGGAGTGGGGGGGAAGGAAGATGAGAGGTAGGGAGAGGAGAGGAGTGGTAGGGATGAAGGGAATAGAGAGGAGAGGGGTGAGGGAAGGGAGGGAGGGAAGGAGGAAGAGTATGTGGTGATATAACAAAAGAGAGAGAGAGAGAGAGAGAGAGAGAGAGAGAGAGAGAGAGAGAGAGAGAGAGAGAGAGAGAGAGAGAGAGAGAGAGAGAGAGAGAGAGAGAGAGAGAGAGAGAGAAAGAGAGAGAGTAGGGAGAGAGAGAGAGAGAGAGAGAGAGAGAGAGAGAGAGAGAGAGAGAGAGAGAGAGAGAGAGTTGTGAAGACACCCATCCAGTTCAATCAATTTATACCAATAGTAATAAGACCGACACAGGTACTCCCGTGTAAACCACCTGTCTTAGTCATTCTAAATTACCACATTGTCTTAATTAATTAATTCCGAGGATTACAGTGCAGGTAAGAGTACAGGTACAGGTACAGGTACAGGTACAGGTACAGGTACAGACATTCATTAATTTGGATACAGCAATACAGTATAAATACACAATGAAACTTAATTATGAATAAACAAAATACAAATGAAAATAAAAACAGCTTCAGAAGAAAAAAATATCTCATTCTTTAAACCCAGACGTAAATTATATAAAGCAGCTCAGATATCGTTGGCAATATTCCACTTAAATAAGCCAGCTGTTTGGTAGTCCGTTCAGACCGTCAGCATCTCAGAGCTGGGAAAACATTCACTCAGGTACGTAAGTAATCTTGATCCAAGGGAGTAAGACGAACCTCATTAGCGTAAAAATGTTGAACTGTGGAGGAATTAATATGTGTGTGTGTGTGTGGTGTGTGTGTGTGTGTGTGTGTGTGTGTGTGTGTGTGTGTGTGTGTGGAAGTGAAGGCGCACCAACCACATCGCCTTCCTAGTGTACCGGACGAAGGCTCTAATGTTCAGTCCTTTGTATTCTCTCTGTCACTAAACGGGTCCTCAGCTGAGCCTAGGACCCTCACCTCCACAATACTAATGGGCATAAACCTGTTCCTTCTGTAGTGTGTAAAAAATATTCTTCCCATTGTATCAAATCCATTACATAATTCTAATCTTT